GAAGAGAGGCCAGTTCGGGGAACCATCCATGTAATTGTTGGAGGTTCGGTGGTAGCAGGGTGTACCTCAGCAGCAGCCCGGACTTTAGTTCGCGAAGCGGCCCTCAAGGAACGGAACCCCCAAAAAGACCAAAGACCGAATAACCAATCTTCTTCACGGAAGACGACGCGCGAGGGGTCCACTACCCTCACGATGACGCGCTTGTCATTAAACTAAGGATCAGCGACTTCGAGGTCAGACGCGTACTCGTAGATTCGGGCAGCTCAGCGGACATCGTCTTCAAATCAGCATTTGACCAGCTACAATTACAGAGGAGCGAGCTGAAGCCCGCGAACACTCCTCTAGCGGGTTTCAGCGGAGAGGAAGTCAGGCCCCTCGGAAAAATAACAGTACTTGTGGAAGTCGGCACATGGCCTTGTGCGGTTAGACTCAACCATGATTTCCTGGTAGTCGCGACCCCCTCCCCATACAATGCCATAATAGGGCGACCAATCATGCATATCCTACGGGTGGTGGTCTCCACCTACTATTTGGCCATGAAGTTCCCTACGGACTTCGATGCGGGGGTAGCGCGGGGCGACCAGCTCGAGTCCCGCAAGTGTTATGTTGCCGCCCTGAAGGGAAAAACCAAGGTGGCTGACGACCTTGAACTGGAGCGGCCTGCGGAGCAAGGCAAAGAACGAGCTTCGCCCACAGAGGTAACGGTCGCAGTCCCGACTTCAGCTACGAACCCAGCTCGCACACTACAGATCGGTGCTTCCGTCGAGGAACCCCTACGAACCAAACTAGTGAGTTTTTTACTTCAAAATTTAGATATTTTTGCCTGGTCCGCGGCCGACATGCCCGGTATTAGCCCCGACCTGATAACTCACAAACTTAATACTGACCCTGTAGTCAGACCCGTTAGACAGAAGAAACACAACTTAGCCCCAGAGCGCTGGAGGGCGGTCGACGAGGAGGTCGAGAAGCTCCTCGCAACAGACTTCATAAGGGAAGTCCATTACCCGAGCTGGGTGGCCAACCCAGTGCTGGTAAAAAATGCGAACATCAAGTGGCGCATGTGCGTCGACTACACCGACCTGAACCGAGCTTGCCCGAAAGATTGCTTCCCCCTCCCCAGAATTGACCGCCTAGTGGACGCGACCTC